GAAATAAATTTATATCAGTTACATATCATCAATGTAATTATTATGAATTATAAACACATACCCAGTGCTCGGTCACCACAAACAGCACACAATCTATCACTCATTAGGTTAAAACTTTCTAATATTTAAATATAAAATTAACTATTAATATATTAAAATTTATTTTAACTTTTAATTAAGCATAAACAATAGGCATTAGCGATGTACAAATTTTAGTTGTAGATACATGTATATTCAATTGAAAATAAGGGTAAAATTTAGCGTTTAATTAAGGAAAACAAGAGTTGAGATAAAAAATAATAATAATGACAGACAATAATTGATTGCGTTATTTATTAAAAATTATTTTAAAAGTATGTTTCCTCCTGTCAAACAAGTGTTCAATTTATAAATCTTTTTTAATGTCATTGAGAAATATTGAGTAGTCTTATTTCATTCATAAACGCACAGATAAAATTAGGAAAAAATGTCCCTGTACCCAATGAATAGTATAATATTACCCAAAGTATTATTTGTATGCTATTATGATTCTGAATCACTAACTCATTTGAGATAAGTTTTTGTTTTGGGAAATTTTTAGTGTTATATCCTTAGCATTTAAATTATATAATTATTTAAACATTTACACTATCATTATGTTGCAAAGTATATTATATGTTTATAATTAACATAATTATTTAAGCATTTACAATAAATTTGATTTAAAATTATAAGTATATATTGAGTTTGACTACTTTTTAGTTTTAGTTATTTGTTTAATAAAATAAATATTTTTAATAAAAAACTTATTTGATTAATAAATACTATTATATAATAGATAATTTTTATCTATCTACAAACTTATTCAATTACTTTATAAATTAACTTTTATTTTCACTATAATATAACAGTTTACTAATTTTGATTTATAAATATACTTTGATGATATAGTTGATGCCACCTATATCAACAAGTTACAATTTTTATTACCTGTTGTAGTGAAACATTGAGATTTATTTTGTATTTACAGTTATATATTTATTTTAAATGTATTTTATAATATTATTTCTTATTAAAATAAAATCTTTGTTATTTCGTTTACAACTAAATTATGATTTATAGAAACTTGTGATTAAAATTATTTATTACTACAGGTATGATATTGTGTAAGCATGTGGTTAACACAATTAATTATATTTTACACAGTACACCGATTTTAATAAATTATAAAATTTCGATATTAAAATAAATTTTAAATAATAATTGTATGAAAATGAAAATTCATTTTTGTTAAATTGTACAAGTGTGAAATACTTGTAAATGTGTATTTGTTTGTACCGGTATTAATGGTTAAGTGGGTTTTTCTGGTATTTAATTTTATTATATTGATGTCACAATACATTCAATAACATTAAGTGCAAATATTTAGAGGATTTAGATTTGAAAGCTTACATAAAATTTAAGCAATTTAAACAATTATGATTTGTAATTAAATTTAACCATTTAAGTACTAATAACTCAATCAATTCAAACACCAAATATCCTGTTGAATAAAAAATAATATTTTTCGAAATTCACAAGGGTAAAAATCATCCATAAAAATATTAAATATATTTTTAAAATCTTTTTTCTCTAAATAATTAATTAATTAAATGTGTAATGTTAATTATAAAACCGGAATAATATCATCAAATTTGACATTGTATAATGCTAAAGTAAAATTTTATTTTAAAAAATAGCTATGTAGCTGTATGCATGTTTTTTAAAACCTAAATATAAAACATTTTGCAGATTAAAAACTTACTAATTAAACACAGGTTTCCTTGATATATACAAGTGTTTTAATAAAATATTGACAATTTCCAAAATCAAAATTATTAATTATGATAAGTAAAAAATAAAATGCCTTCCAAGTTAATAAACTAATGTGTAATAGTTATGTTTACAGTATAAGAATTATAGTATGAATTTTCTCTCAAATCAATAATCATAATGCAACATACAATTAACACAAACACATTACAAAATAATATTTACATTAAGAAAGCAATCATCCATTATTTAATGCTCCATAAACTACCATACTATATAATTCTGGGTTTTAAAAATATTACTTGGCAAATAGTATAGCAAATAATGAATTTATATTAAACTAAAGAAAATATTTATAAACATAATATTTTGACTTGTGTACAGTACAGTATTGACAAGTGAGTAAAGTACATTATGCTAATATATCAAAATACAATTCATTTTAAACTTATATTAATGCAAATGCAATTTCACAATTGAAAATTATTAAATAAAATTTTATTTTAAAAGTATTTCAAGTTCAATTAAATATATTACAACGTGTAATAAAATAATTATAAAACTCTTTCAAAATTACAAATCTATTATATGAAATAACTGTCTAATTAGAGGTGATATGTTTTTATATGGAGAATAATACGTAAAGTTTTGAATACGAAACTCATTGATGAGATGTAAGTCATTCATACAATTCATTAATCTTCGGAATCGGGTCTCGGATTCACTCTTAGAGTTGTGTTTAATCTCTAAATAGCGTTGAAGTAAATACATGTAAGTCTTCTGTTGTAATCTAAGAGATTATATAAATTATAAATAACTAAAATTGTTCAAGATATTTGACATTATACATAAAATTGATAACTCACGTAATAAAATGCTTATGGACCAGAATTGAACCGTTTGGATTGAATAGTAAAACAGCGGATAACTATAGTTATAATAAATAATAAATATGAGATATATTCATGCACAACTAACATTTTATATTAATATAAATACCAAATCAAGCATGATCATATCGGATTTGCATTCTTGTTGAACTTTTTGCATGAATTTATAATGTATTTCTGTGGGAAGCAATTCGTGATTCTTGATTATATCCATAGAAAGCTGTGCCGCGTTTTCATTGTCCTAAAAATAGTCGAATATTTAATATTTATTTTTATAAATCATATAATCATTGCATACAAGGGGTAAGGTCCAGAATCCCTCCTCAAAATTAAAATTAAGAACTGATAAAAGGCTAATAATTTTAGGAAAGCCGTCCACCAAAAGTCCTATTTTGTCGTCTTTGCCCAGTTCACTGAATTCAGACATATTTTTACACATTTTTATAAATCTTCGACACTTGTTATCAGTACTCATTTGTATGAGTCGGAAGGCATCGGAAAATGTTTGCGTTTTAAAAGCTATTTTAAAATGATTGCTG